CACTCGAATGGAATGGACTCGATTTTGAGTTCTTAACGAGATGAAACGAGCTACTTGATACCCGAATCGAAAAACTAGCGAGCAAATAAAAATAATAATATATTAAATTTTTATTTTTTAAAATTAAATTATTAATAATATTAACATTTGTATGTTGTTTTTTTAATACAATATGAAGTTTTCATGTACTTAAGGTTTAGGTTCAAGCTTGAACCAAGACGAAGTTTGAGGTTCAATCGAGCAAATATGAGAATGTTTCGAGTTCAAGTTTTTTCAAGCTCAAATCAATTTTTTATTTCGAGTGAGCTTGACAATTTTAAGTTGCGAGTTTTTGAGTCAAACTCAACTTTAAACTTTTTACATCCAGCTCCTTCGTTTACATCCGTATTGCCTATTAATAGGGCCAATAAAAAAGGCAAGAAAATGAAGAAGGCTCTATGACCAAATAAAATTTAAGCAATCCAGTGAGATTGAAACAAACCCGCTGGAACCATGAAAATAGTAAGCTTTTCGCTGAACAAGGTCAACAAGACCCTTAAAGTTTTCTTCCAAGCCAATCGGAACTTGCACAGCTGCAGCATGATGCCGGAGCTTAGACCTAGCCTGACAATAGACACAAAATGAACGGCATACTACTGTTAAATGTGTGAACTGTGAAGTTCAGTAACAACTATTCAGTTAGATGAATATATCCAAATGTACCTGGTTGAGAACTTTCCATGGATCAGCTCCCATTCTATCGAGCTTGTTAATGAAGGCAAGTCTTGGAACCTCATACCTTCACATTTGTCGATCAACAGTAATCGACTGACTTTGTACACCACCAACACTACAAAGAACTAAAATGGCACCGTCAAGAACACGCAGCGCCCTCTCCACTTCAATTGTAAAATCAACGTGACCAGGTGTATCAATTATATTAATCTAAAACAGCAGATAAAATTTTTGCACAGCTTAATAAATGAGAAAAAGACACTGTAGTAAAATTGGGTCAAATTAATATATCTTCCGAACCTGGTAATCTTTCCAGGTGCAATACGTGGCAGCAGATTGTATAGTAATTCCTTTCTCTCTTTCTAAATCCATGGAATCCATCTTTGCTCCAACGCCGTCTTTCCCGCGAACCTCGTGGATACGGCCGGTATAATAGAGAACACGTTCCGTCAGGGTGGTCTTGCCCTAGTCGATGTGAGCGGAGATTCCTATGTTTCGGAGTCGCTCCATGGACTCTTTCCACCATGGATCTTTGTCATCCCTTGCTCGCGCGGCGCTACCAGCTGAGAAGTGACGGACCTCGAAGTTTCCGAGGAGGAGGGAGGCGGTCGGGGAGGGGGAAGAGGTCGGCGCCGCCTTGGTGGAGTATAGAGTGTAAAGGAGGCTAGGGACGGTGGATCTTTGGAATCGCGCCATGGTGGAATATTGATTAGTGGGTAAAACCCTAAACCCAAGAAAAAGGGCAGTTAGTTTCCCGTTTGCTTTAGGTTTTGATTTGAAAAATGAGAGAATTTGGGTCTGAAAATGGGGCGGTTTAGGATCAGGGACAATTCTGATGGTCGGGTACTTTGGGTCTGCCTTTGGTCCCATTTGCTTTCCTTGAGCCCATTGCTGATAATCCAAATATTTTTTTCCTTCTTCAAATGTTGGGTTAATATAAATTTTGACCTCTCACTTTCGCTTTAATGTGTAAAAGATAGTAGTTAACACTAATACAAGTGCTCGCTTTTTCTTTTAATATTCTATGTAGAGCGATTACAAGGTGTTATATGTTTAAAAAAATTAATTATTAAAAATGCGCACGCACTCCCAGTCCACAGACATAGTTGTTTAAACTCATAACCTTTAGAGAGTATTATAGGATTAAGAAGTTTTTTTAATAAGGTCTATATATCATGTTTTCGTTTTGTACGTTATCAACATAATCGTACATAACTTACTTTCTAACAAAAGATCATTTAAAATCACTTGATGAGTCTAATCACTCTTTTTTTTAAATTATATATTATATATAATATTAAAAGATATTCTATTATAACGTTGATTATTAATTAATAAATAAAAATAATTCAAACAATTACAACAGTATGATTGAGCGTTTATTATAAAATTGTTGAAAGTATTTAAAACAAACAATACTTTGTAATCACCTTAACAAAAAAAAAATATTCAAACCCTTAAAAAGATATTATTGAAAGAGAATGACATATCATAAAATTAACTCAAAATCTAAAAGATTGCATCCGTTGAAAATATATTATTAATAAAAGATATAAAAAATTAATATTTTAAGGGCCACCGGCTGCCTATATTCCCTCGGTCCATCTCCAAGCAGCAGTGGAGGCCCCAAGTTGGTCTGATCCGGGTTTTTCGTGCTGGTGGCGATCCGATCAGCGTCAGCAAAAATATTTGTGGAGAGAGCAGGCAGGTGCATTGTACTAGGAACATGGAATGGCCTTAATGGAAGAACATAGTGGGCAATACTTTAAAACTTTCTGGTGCACGCACATTAATGCTACCTGTCAGTCTCTTCAAATTCCTTTCTTTCACTTTGTCCTATATATATTCAGGATATAATCTATCCCAGCAATTGCCCACACATTCATTCTTTATTTCCACAAATTTCAATAGAAGAATCCAATTTCTCTCACTTGTCACGATGGTCCCTAGTCCCCACTCGTCTTCCCAGCAGCCCAACTCCTTGTCTACGTTTATTTAGAACTTTATTTTTTTCGTAGGTGAACTAATATATTTATAAAAGCTATTTTATCAAATGATTATAGCTAGAGTCAGAGATTTACAAGCTAAAAAGGAGACTGAGTTGAAAAGCTTTGAAACGAGCTAGTTGGATTTAAATCAGAATTTTGGTGCTGTAAGTATTGGATCTTGTGTTACCGGAGTAACAGCAATGTCACGTGCTACAAAAACAATCAAATACTTTAATGGAATTTTTGTTTTAATTAAATTTATTCATTGCAAACCTGAATTTGATGAAGTTTGATCTGAATCATTAATGATAAAAATACTTCAGGGAGTTATGTACAATAAAAGGAATATTTTGGGTAGAATTCTGTTAGAAGCTTTTATATTACATTTAAATGTTTGCTTTAGTCTCTCTATTATAAAAAGGAACATTTTAATATTTGTATGTTTAAAAAAATATTTTGATTCAAAATATTAAATTTATTGTTAATTGATTTAAATATCTTAATTTAAATACCCTTTAGGTCCTTCTAAATCTTGAGCTCAAACAAATTAATTTATGACAAATCTCATCAAGTGAATTTGATTTCATCCGAGTCAAAATCCAATTATCATTATTATATCCTTCTAATTCATCAATCGATCAATTGATCAAAATACTGTAATTTGTGATACCTTCCAAATATCTTAATAACTTTACTACATCACCCCTGTTAACATCGTAAAGAGTATTCACATATTTGATATTAAAGTAACCAAATTTCTTTTAAAAAAATTAACATAACTTTCTTGTGATATCTTATATACTGTTACCTTTTCTTATGATTTGAATTCTTAATATAACATTTGCTTCTCCCATATTTTTCATTTCAAAATTTAAAATAAAATATTTATATCTTTTAAGTGACAACTCATAGTTTTGAGAATAAATACGACATTGATATATAATCACATATTTAGCACCAATAAGTGTAACATAAACACATTTATCCAAAAAAACACAATGTTGCTATCCAACTAAGGGGTAGAAGTATTAATAGGAATGATAGTGTTAATACTATACTTTGTAGTCATTGGGGGTATTGAATAGCTGAATTATGTTCTGCTGTAAGTAGATACTATTTGTATTCTTGAACAAGCTGTTTGTATACAGATATTTGGGTAATAAAATCGAATTATCCAAAAAAAAAACACATTTATCAACTTCAAGAGAAGTATAACCATCACTTACTAATATTTGATAATTTTTTTCATGTTACTGTTTAAATTCTTGTTTCAAGTCATATAGGAATCTTAGGAATTTATACACTTTATTTTCATGATTTGATACATCACTCAAATTATCCTATGTACATTTCTTCTTTGAAGTCGTCATTAAACAACAGTTTTAACATTCATTTAAAAATCAGGTTTATCAAAGACTCTATCAAATATATCAGAATCATGGGAGATTAAAATTGATACAATTCACTGAATAAATGGATGACATTATACTAAAATAAAACATATGAAACTAGGGATAAAATCAAACAATTTCAAAACTGACGTTACGTAGGACACTCGAAATTAAATTATCTGAAAATTTTAAAAATCATATTGAATTGAAACTGTTTTCTTATTGAATTAAAATATATATTTAATCACTCAATTTTTATTTTATTTTTATTTTGATTATCTGATATTTAAAAATTTATATTTCACCGTCCAACTTTGATTCTGTTGTTATGCTTCAATTATTTTCCTTGATAATGGTGGTGACATAAGGGATTGATGGCATAACCATGATGATCAAACATGTGGATGCAATAAAATCACATCACCCCCTACACGAAAGCATGACGATTATCATCAAACGAATCATCTATCTGACCTCCCCTTGGAAGAGTATTTTAGTGAACAGATATCAACCAGATTCAGAGCCTCTAAAGATCTACTACATCTTATTTATTTAAATAATCCAAACATGGCTAGAAGAATATGTCACCAAGACAGACGATTAGTTGAGCCTACGTAATGAATTGATATCACCGCTCACGTCACTTATGCTACGCATAGAAACATGCATTTCTTTAATCCTAAACATTGCTGTTATTGACTTATCGTTAAATCTTCCCATTTGTTTATATGGCGTTTGCCGCCTAGTATAAATGTCGAAGTGAAGCTGATGCTCTGTTTCAACCTCAAACCACGCCAATGGAACAGAAGAATAAGAAGAAAGCGGGGAGGCGGAGTCCGGCGTTTGATATAGAGGCGTAAGGAGGCGGCTTTGGGGGAAATACGCGGCTGAGATTCGGGACTCAACGATGCGGGGTGGACCTCGGGTGTGGCTTGGAACTTTCGAGACAGCGGAGGAGGCTGCTCGTGCTTACGACCGAGCTGCTTTCTCTATGAGGGGTCCCTCCGCTATTCTCAATTTCCTAGATGAACATATCATTTCACCTAGGGGATTAAATTCCCCCCCTACGGCTACCCCTTCTTCTTCATCATCATCATCTTCTTTGTTTGAACATGTGGAATGCAAAAAGGATCATGAAAGACAAGTGCTGGAGTTGGAGTATTTAGACGATAAATTGCTGGAGGAGCTTCTTGATTTTGAAAATAAATGAAACCCAAAAAGAATGAAGCATTTTCAGTATGCTCTTTGTATATATTTCTTGAGAACTGGAAATTTTATAATTTCTTTGTTAAACTTTGGCCCCACATGGCGACTCCAAGTTGACTAGGCTGATTTGGTCGAGTTTTGGATATCCATTTTATGATTCTTTTTAGTTTGTTTGGCACGTGATTTTGACCTTACAGAGCCGCCACTTCCTACTACATGAACTTTTCAATACAATTGCAATTTCAATAAAAATAATGAAAAAACAGGATGGGTTAATTGAAATCTCCCTTGTTTACAACAGAAAATAGAAGGAAAAACACACAAATAAATTATTTCCATGTTAAGATAATCCATAGCTTCATAATTTACAGGCCATGCCTGTTATCTTGTGTATCAAGTAGACCCTCCAACAACTTGTTGTCGAGGTACTCAAACTCGATGACTTCACTTCCCCTTTCTCTGTGGGGATTCCTTCGAGATGAGGAGGCTGAAGATGGTGGAAAGGATGGGTTCTGATACTGGTACTCATTCGGGAAATTGAGGACCGCCGAGTGACCCCGGAATGCAAAAGCAGCCCTGTCATACGCCCTCGCAGCCTCTTCAGCCGTCTCAAAAGTTCCGAGCCACATTCGAGCTCCGTTCCTTGTTGGATCACGTATCTCCGCCGCAAACTTCCCCCATGGCCTCCGGCGAATGCCCCTGTATCGAACCTCCCCATTGTTGATCTCTCTGTTCTTCCCTCCTTGAGATGCTTCCATTGTTTTGTTGGTGTTTTTGTTTCAAGTGTAGCGCTTTATAATATATTGGCATGGGATGTGGTGATTAAAAAGAGGGTCAATGGCCCTTTATTTGCCATGACGAAAAAACGAAAACCCTGGGTCATTCTTGACGGTTGGAATATGTTCAATTTCGTTTGCTAGGAATACACGTGAATTGTTTAGCCCGATTTAATTCAAAAAATTTAAAATTGAATTTAAAATTATCAAATTTAAATGAAACTCAAATAAAAATTAAAATTTGACTTGAGTTAAAAAAAATTGAGAAATATTCTCAAACTTAATTTGGTTGACACTTAAACTTGAGTTTAAATATGAAACTTAAGTACAAGAAAAACTTATTATATATATTAAAAAACAACATATAATTGTTAATATTATTAATTATTTAATTAAAAAATTTAAAATGATATATATATATATATATATATATATATATATATATATATATATATATATATATATTTGAGTTGTTTGTGAACTTTTCAAGTCATATATTAAGTAGTTCGTTTCGAATTGTTTAAAACTTATTTCAAATTCGAGCTCGAATCGAGTTTATTTAATTTTAATATTAACCAAAATTTGATAAAATTAAATTTTAATAACTTTGTGATCTATATCATTTCTTTTACAGCCCTAACTAGGAAACTTCAACGGATGTAATAAAGAAGAAGAGTTCAAGTTGTTGCATGTTGTTTGAGTTGTAATTGTTTGACGACATTGGACCATGATTGATGGATCATTTGTCTTTCATTTAAAATATATATATATATATAAATCCATAATTCGGAAGAATGAGAGAAGAAGCATGTCCCAAGGGGTTCGTTCAAGTTATGGAAATAAAAATGCAGACCTAATATGGGATTTTTTTTTTCAAGTTATGGACACTGGCCATGGGAATGGAGCCAGCAAGAGTTCAAAAATAGACATAGAAGAAAGTGATGTGAATGTAACTAATAAGAGATCAACGATAACCTTGTCTTAATAATTTCCTTAAATAACCATGATTCAACTGTGACATTAAGCTTGATTTGGCTCCAGTTGTAAATATTGCACAACTTTTAGTATTTGTTGGCCGTGTAGTTTTCAATGGAAGATTCTAGTTGAATTTTTTCCCTTGAAACTTTACATTTGTTGGTGACTATTATTGTTTAGAAGAGTCGAGGAGCATGTTCAATGCTCGATCTGTCTGCAAAGATGCACATGTGAGAGGGTATTGTTTAGGAAGATGGTCATAGAGCTGACGTGTCTTCTAAATTTTCTTGAATGATTTTTCTAAACTATATTAGAATTGTTATGTTATAGATGCATAAATTTTGCTGATATGATTTTATTATAGTCTCCTCTTTTAGAATCATAATGCATGCGTAATTGCGTATATGTATATATATATATATATTTGATGATTTGAATTTTGTTCAGAAAACTAGCACGAAATGGAGAAGTATTGGACTCTTGTTATTCAGTTTGACAAAGGTTCACCTTCAATAGTCAATGAGATTAAGCAAGCCTTCATTTGTCTCCTTGTTCTTTAAAATGGGATTTACAAATCCTGAATAACCCAGGTCAATAGACTGTTCCAAAGTAATTGGGTTGGTTCGATATATTTCATTACCTTTGTCTGGTCATACATGGTTTCTTATTGGGACTGTGGTCCAAAATGGGAGGTGGGTCATTTGTCACAACAATGGTCGAATGCCTTGATGGGTCTAGGATTTTGTTTCCAGCTTAGCCCACTGCTTGAGTATGTTCCGCATAAATTTCTTCCCGAAACTAGCCCACAACAATGGTCTAATCAGCACAAAATTTATTTTAGAAAAATCAGGTCATCAGCTTGTTCATGTGAATTTGCTGTATATGGAAATGAAACCATCATAATATATTAGTCGTCGTCATTATAATATATGACACCTGCTTGAGAGATTGTCATTTGTGGTTTATATATATATATATATATATATATACACACACACACATAAAACCAATACAAATACGAAGGTGAGATCCTAACTAAAGCAACTTATAGTTCATAAAGCCAGAGAGAAGCAAAAATTAGTGGAGTTGTCCCTCGGAATTATGGATCCTTCCTCCCTAAACTCTCCACCAGGTTTGATTCACTGTTTCTCATTAAATAACGACCAAAATTTATTTTCATTTAACACCCGAAACCCCAAAAATTTACCTTGTCTTTCTCATGGTGATGGCTCAAGAGAATCATCAGAATCTGCTTCCAATGGACCACTCGATGAAGGAGAAGTCCCCAGGAAGGGAACATCGTATCGCGGTGTAAGGAAGCGACCATGGGGGAAATATGCGGCGGAGATAAGGGATTCGACGAGGCATGGCATTCGGGTTTGGCTTGGAACATTCGACAGTGCAGAGGCAGCTGCTTTAGCTTATGATCAAGCGGCTTTATCCACACAGGGTCCGAAGGCAGTGCTCAATTTCCCCATCGAAAGAGTCCGGGAGTCTCTTCGGACCATGAATTACGATTGCAAGGAAGGTACATCGCCGGCCACAGAACTAAAGCTGAGGAATTATTTACAAAGGAAATCGACGGACAAGAGAAATAAAAAGAAGCAGCCGCCGTTGCAGGCAAAGAATAATGTGGTGGTGTTAGAAGATTTAGGGTCTGAATACTTGGAGGAACTTTTGAGCACATCTGAAAGTAGTAGCTCTTGCTTAAAAAAAATTAAATTAGCTTAAAACAGCCATCATATATATAAATATATGTATATATTCTTTCTTTTTTTTCCCTCCATTGTCATATAATTTCCAAGGTAGATGTAATCTCAGTTCTCATGCGGACTTTCTTCAACAGGTGCGCTCTGTTTCTCCTTCTTCCTTTATTTTTTAGTTGAAACATGAAAAATTACAGTCTGGATAACTTGTTTGAAGCTTAGCTGCGCAATCTAGAGAATTTTAAGTTGAATATACCCGAAGCTGCGTTTCGTTAGCCAACTTTGATTTGGAATGTTGACTGATCATTGTAACATCTTAAAAATAATATTAATTTTTTTACGGTGAATAATATTATTTATAATGAATAAATTTTAAATATTTATCAAACAACAGTAAATATTTTACACAGAATCATCCAAAACATCACGAAATATCATATTGTTTTTAATGAAAATGATTATGTTTCTGGAACCCTTGTTCAAAAACTGTTTTAATGAAACCAACCAAACAACAACTGGTAGGTAAGGCGCATCCTAATTTTTTGAAACAAAAGCACAGAAACAATTACTAGTTGGTTATTACTTCCCATGCATTTGGATTGAGAAGAAAAGTTGGAACTGGAATCCCCGATTACGTTTACCTGCTATCGTTTTCTACTAAATTTTGTGCCTTTGTTGGTTGTCAAAGCTGGACAGAGCATACTTTCAACGTGTCAGAAAAACAGGAAGGTTAGAAGGACAAATAAGAAAGGACGTTTGAAAATGTGCAAATATCATGCAAATCCCACCCTCCAATTTTCTAATTGTGATAATCAGATTTATTGATGGTGACCATTCAATTTAACTACTTTTTTTACTATCAAATGATTCATTCATTTATTCAACGTTATTCGGTGACAAAAAAAAGCTTGACTAAGTTCGTTACGGAGCAGCGGCTTCCATGACAGATGGGGGTTCATTGTTTGTTAAATTATGACATCCGAAGAGAAAGCAAAACAGTGTGGGGGTTGTGTATTCAAAACTAGAAGCTGGCCTGGAATTCGACACGCCCTCTGCGTACTGTAATAGATACAAGGCTAATCCTTGTGAATCTGGATTTTCTCCAAACCCCCCCCCCCAGCACACCTCTTTCAACACTGTGGATCTACTTTAAAAATTTTAAAAAGAAAATCGTTTTGAGACGTGTAAGATCTTTTCCCAAACATTTTAGTACGATTTCAGGTTGAATACAGTTCGGAAAGAGTAATCAAAAATGGTTTTATAAAACGGAACAATTGCTTAGGATTTTGCTATCAGGAGTTAAGCTTAAGAATTCACTTCAGGCTTGTTTCATGTAATTTTTTTTTGGAGTAAAACATTTTTCTAAATCCCCTTCTCTTTTTTTTTCTTCACATTTTTCAGTGTTTGATTTGAATAAAATTGATCGGTCAATATAAAACAATTTCTTAATCAATAGAACTTTTTTTGCATTTTTTAAAAAATGACTTACGATCTTATTTTTCGTAAGTAATTTTTGAATTTTTCACTCTAAAAATTAAATATTCAAAATAATTTTATTTTATATATTTAATATTTATATAATATTTAATATCATTTTAATCAAAATATTAATTATTAAAATATTTAAAATATATTTATTAATATTTCTAATAATGTAATATTATATTTTCTTATATTTATAATAATATACTCAATTATGTTATAATAATGTAAGATATTATATTTTTATTTTAATAATATATAATAAATTATTAATAAATTTTATATTATTTATTTATTTCATAGAAATAATATTATCAAATTATTAATAATGAATAATATTGTTTATGTGTTTAATAAAATAATATAATAATAGTTTAATAAAGATATTTAAAATATTTTAATTAATAAATTTCAAAATATAATATAATACTCTTTATTTTAATAAATAATTAATGTAATTTATAATATTTTTATTTGAATAGAATGTACTAATCTTAATATTTTTATTTATGAAATCAAAGAAATAATATTTTAATAATAATGAATAAATTATTCTAATATTTCAAAAATAATGTTAAGTTTTTATGATAAATAATATTATTTATTGTATTTAATATTTTTAATAAATAAATTTTTAAAAAATCATCAATTAGTGAAAAATGTTTTACACAGCATCTTCTAAACACCATAAAACATGTTCCAGAAAATGTTTTCATGAAACAAACATACTCTTAATTTAAATTCAATTGAGTTTAATCAGTTGGATATAAGTTGTGATTAAACTGTTGAATGTTTTTTTTATTGCTCTGGAGTAAGTATAAGTCAATATTTATTTAAATATTTTCAAGGAATAACAATAATTCATTTACGTTATTTGGTTCGTGTCGTTGAAAGTTTGTTACGGGATAGGGATATATGATATTCAGTCTGTTAGACGGTTATAACCCAACGGGTCTCTTTATAAGGCCCAAACTTTTTTATTTGTATTCAAGTCTATGATGTATTGTTTTTACACTTTTAATGAAAAGCTTTCGGTTCTCTTCGAATTTTGTCAAAATCCCAAGACCTTCATCTTCTTCATTCCTCGCGTCTTACCTTTCACAATGCATAATTAGGATTTCTACTTGCACATCATGCGATGAATGATCAAGCAACTAGTCAGAATGAACAGTGTTATACTAATTCAGAAGAAGACAGTAAACAATCTGAATCCATAGCAGCATAGGTGATGTTAACCCAGAGCTTCATATCAGCTTTCACCAGATTCTGGTTATTCAAGGATTAAAATATACGGTATTTTCCATCAGAAATTGAATCCACAAGGACTAATCCCTGGAATGGAAGAGCTAAAATTACAAACAGCTAGCTTCAATGAGCACGATCCCTTAACACTTCAAGATCCATCTCTGTAGGGTCAGTTGCTTGAATCTCGTAATGGATGCCATCCAGTTCCCTTCTAAGCCTGTCTTTTGATGTGGCATAAAGCATCTTTGCTCGGATTCGAGACGATGAAGGGCACCTGATCAACAAAACACAACAAGAAATTACTACTATAAAGTTAATGCCCTTTGCACTAGCAAGTAATCACTGCTATAAAGTTTGTTGTATTAAAGAGAGTCAATGGCAAAAATCTACCATGCAATGAAGAAAATCTTGCTCTTCTGACAATTCTCAGACGTAACAAAATCGAAGTCATAGACGGCGTATCGGCAGTCGGTTTCGGGCAGGGATGCAGTGAAGTCATCGTACGTCTCAGCAGGGGCACCAGTTTTGTCAACCACAATCTCCCTTTTCTTCTCATCGATCCTAAATATCACATAGCGATGAACTTTCTTCCTTTTCAGCTCCAGAAAGGTATCCTTGGTGTGATCAGCAACTCCCATGCCTGATGTCGCATTCGGCTGGCCACACAACCATACTTGTTGTAATACATTCATTTAACTGATAATCCATGTTTTATAACATAATATAATCAATTCCAGCACAGGATTTATTATGTTTTCTTTTGAACAAAGAAGCAAAATCAGTTTGTAAAACAGAATCTTGTTCGTAGTTAGAACATAAAACAGTAGAAGAACTATCAAATTAAACATTTTTTAATCTCAAAAGGAATTAAACAAACAAACAAAAAAGAACCCATGAAACCGAAAGAAGCAAAGCAAAACATAATGAAATATACCCGACTAAATCCTCTGAACGACATGGCAGCAGAAAGAAGTCCAGCAAAGGAGAAAAAACACTAACAAAGGCAGAAGCAGAGGCGGTGCTTTATCAAATAGAAGGGTGGCGCTTATATTATTAATAATCTGCACGGAAATAAAATGAAATGGTAGGTTCACAATAAAGAGGACATGCATCATCATTATCATATTATTATGGTTATGAATATATCCTCTACTTTATTAAAAGGAAGTGGAAAATCTAATGCCACCTTTGGATTATTTCGTATTAATTTTATATAATAAATAGATTATTTAATAGATTAAAAAAACATTTTTTTTGAAGGAACGAATAAAATATTAATTATTCAAATTAAATTAAAATTAAAAATTAAAAATTAAAAAAATGAAAAATGAAAATGACAAAGGAACCTTCTGAAAAAGAAAAGTCGTAGAGAAAACAAAAACATAGAAAAAGTGGGGTTGCTGGGCGGTGCGTTTGATTAACGCAATTTGCATGCTTTGGCCGACTCAAAACAATGGAATCTCCAAAAGAAAAAGAAAAAGAAGAAGCAATCTTCATTTATTTTACCTTTCAAACCAAACAAAATACGAAAATCTTTGCCGTCCATTAAAGCATCAACCATTCATTAATCTCCTTCTACGTCTGCTAGTCGCCGCATATACTTATTTTATAGGGTATATTATATATATATATATATATATATATATATAGTAGAGTACAAGGTTCTTAACCTTGAGGTCGTGGATGACATTTCATAATTCGGAGGTCTTCTACAGAAGCTTCTCTCAACTTGTGTTGGGAGCAACTTACTATCTTACCTCCCCCTTACCCCATTACATATGGGAACAAGGGATAGCCATTTTTTGTAATACCCCAAATTTCAGGTTAGTAGTTTCGATCAACCTAAGACTCGTCAGTAGAGTCCATTAGATTTTCCAAGCCAATTTAGATTAATTCTTTAGAGTATTGGACCTAAGGTAGGCCCAATAGTTAAGCTAAGTGATAGATTTAAGTTGGGTTTAAAAAGAGAGGGACCAAATTACCAATTTACCCATTGATGGTTTTAAATGTTAAAATCCCTTATTTTAAATGGAATTTACATGAACCTTCCATAAACTTGTTTCCCATTTCCTCTTCTATTCTCTTCTCTTCTCTTCTTTTTTTTATTTTCTTTCCAAGAGTAAACCAAAAAGGAGCAAGTTTTTAGAGACATGTGCCTAGTTTGAAGAAACCAAGGTAAAATCCTCAATCTTCATCCCTTAATAGAGTCCTTAATCTTAAGATCTGATTGAGTTTTTCAAAAATGAGTTTTCAAGAAATAAAAGGGATTTAGAGATTTAAGATTGTTTCTTGTAAATTTGAGTTGTTTAGAGTAACCTCAACCTTGTTTTAAGCCTTAGATAAGTTAGTAAACCCTTTTCTTCCCTTAAATTAGTTAAGGAAGTTGAATGAAGTTCAAAGGCAGGGGGAACGAAAATGTGACCCTACGTTAGATTGAGAAGAGTTTTTAGCAGCTCAAGTAACACACTATTAACTTTTTCATACCAGTTGTAGGATCATTAGAAAGAAGTTTAACTTGAAAGTTGAGTATGAGCATGTTTATTAGCCTTTTATGATAGATTTTATGTTTAATGTTTTCATCATGTTTCTAAACCTTAGTTATTCTCCCTTAATATCACATAAGACTTTAAAAAAATGTTTAGAGACCCCATTAGGGTATTTGGCATTGAAATATAGTATTTTCCTATGTGTTTTATGACTTCTACAGGTAGAGTATCGATACTGTAGGGATAGTATCAATATTTTTTCAAGAGTATCGAAACTTTGGGTCATAGTTTCGAAACTCCCAGAAAGTTTCGAAACTAGGCAGAACAAAATGTTTAAAAGTATCAATACTTATATAAAGTATCAATACTTATATAAAGTATCAATACTTTTTCAGGAGTATCGATACTCTTGGGCTAGTATCGATACTTTCAGTCTGTTTTGGGCAAAAATGTCGGTTTCTAAATGAATTAGACTTAAGGTATCCCAACACTTCAATATTTTCTCACATAAGACTTCAAGTGAGAAGATTAATTATGTTAAATTCAAACGTAGAAACGAGAATAAAGTAGGGTGAAATAAAACTAGTCATGTTTGAATGCTTGGGAAAATGACTCGGACACCCGAGTTCCTTTAAAAAATATAGCAGAGTCAAAAGTATAGATTCAATCTGGATATCCTTAGGGAGTGCGCAAGGCACTTTATGCTGACTAGTTTGGGCGCAAGGTCCGACACTCAAGGAGTGGGCTAGTCGATAGGGTGATGTCCGATGCAGAGATTCTGAGGGCCACATTCTCGATAGACTAGAGGAGCATGTGAGCTCCGAGATGCAGAACCCTCAGCCGCGCCATGATGTCTACCATAGAGTAGAGAGTGAGTTATAACATGACAAATCAGTAGACTAAATAATAGTAGACCAAATAGCAGTAAACCAGATAGCAACATACTTGCTAGCTTGAGCATTTCAGTGATAAACTTTTAGTATGTTTTAGTTGTTAGTGTGACGTTGAGCTAGTTAGCTCAGCCTTGAGATTGTTTTTCGTGGGTAGGTTAGTAGATCGGGAGTTCGAGGAGTAATAGATAGATCAAGGTCCAGACTCAATCAAGATTCAGAGTACTTCTCAATAGTTTTTGAAGGGCTTGTATATTTTATAAACCCTGTTATATCAGTTGTGTAACACCCCCAACCCGTATCCGACCCGGATATGAGTCCGAAGTGTCACATTGACTTTTCAAATATTTATTCGTATAAAATAGTGAGTAATTTAAAAACTTTGATAACAGTTAACTCATTCAAAACGTTTACAAAATATATCAGAGTTCATACAATTTATATCTTTAGACTACATGCCAACTACACTCTATAACCAGTACATATATTTTCTGATCTGACATTTGGTAAGGAGAACTGACCTGTCTTGCTCCGCATTACTCTTTACTCTTCTCGAACCTACGTGTGAAACAATCACACGCTAAGTCGAAGACTTAGTGAGGCATAAAAACTTATAAGGTAAACGGTAACTAATAATCATACCTAAACAATTCTTACTATCATTTCATACCACTCATACTTTTACATGTAACGAATATATGCATACATATATGTCCTTATCATTCATATATCTTATCTCATGTTCCTATGATCTCTTATGTCCATATCATATAACATATACCATAACCAATTGCACATACACATACCATGTCAGGTAAACCATATATATATATTATCATAAAACACGTACACCCAATCAATTATATTATCATCTTCATTTCTTTCTTATTTTATCACTATCATTGATTCCTTTCATCATATAGTCTTATAAGTTACCATTTGTACAATCAATATCACACATGAAATTCCACAAGGGAACAAACATATTATCCTATCACTTTATTAATATTATCTATTTAATAGCCCATGATACTCATGTGAGAACTAAAGATATGCGAGTACATAGAGGTTGTGCACTAATGCTGTCACCACAGCTCATATAATTGCACCGAAGTGCCACGTAGAATTGCACCGGAGTGCCGCGTAGAATTGCACCGTAGTGCCATATAATAATGTCCCGAAGGACTATATATCACTCCTTAAGAATCATATACATATACTAGGGATCAAGTATGTGTCTCACCAGACTTCACACATGTTCCAAAGAATACATATATATCCCGAAGGACCACATATCACTCCTTAAGAATCATATACATATACTAGGGATCAAGTATGTGTCTCACCAGACTTCACACATGTTCCAAAGAATACATATATATCTCGAAGGACCACATAGACCCTCGACTCTTGGCATGCCAACTATACCCCTAGCTCTCATGACACATAACATGGGCATTATCTTTTATATCCTTTTACATATTCATGTAACCATATCATATATTCATATAAGCTCATGGTTTCATTCACATATACATGTAATCACGTAGTTTCTTTCATGTAATTCATGTCACTTTTCATATGAATTCATATTCATATGTCACATAGGATTCACCCTCATGTATCACATATACTTTCTCTTTCATATGGCTCATAACATTTCTCATGTGTTCATATGACATGTAACTCATTGTCATCTTATCATGTTACCACATAGACATATCATCTTACAATACATACTAAACATATCAATACCTATATTCACATATACCTTTCACTTCATTATCCTTATTATTATTCTTATCATCACCATTAATCCCTTTTACTTACCATATTCATATCAATAACACATATACCCATGCACACATATAAATCATAACAAATACATACTTCTATGAATTCATGTTTTTCACTATTGGAAATAGACTTATCACAAGTCTTATTTTCCCTTGAACCTCATATACTAGAGAATGTGCACTCACCTTAGCTTTGCTTTGATTCGATTATAATCCTTCAATTGATCCGGAACGGGATCACGTTCTACATCTACATCATCATACATAGATCTATATTAGTATTATAACTAATATACTCTAATGGTTCACTCTTTAGACCAAGAGAAAAGTCAATTTCATCTTTTAATGAAGGTATGCATCGATGCACTACTGATGCATCGGTGCATAAAATGTATTCGATGTTGTATTATTACTGGGATGCATCGATGCATGCCTTATGCATCGATGCACTAATTGCATTCAATGTTTCCTTATTAATGGGATGCATCGATGCACTACTTATGCATCGATGCACAAATTGCATTCGATGTATTTATTTTAAAAGAGTGCATCGATGCACTACCAATGCATCGATGCACCTTCAAACAATTTCTGGGTTTTAACATTGATGCATCGGTGCACTATGAATATGCATCGATGCACTCTGCCCAGAACCTCTTTTTGAACCCGAAAAATCCTTCTTTTTGGGTTAAATCCTTCATATTTCCACCCCTTTCATATTCCTAACTTTCATATACATAATTAAACTCATTAATATTCATTTATCTCATCTTTAACCTTAATATCCTCTCCTCTTTAGGAATTTCAAGAATCATACCCTATTTTCCACATGTTTCAAATCCAATTATAACACTTAATACTTCTTAATTAAGCT